TTTTTTTTTTTTTTTTTTTTGTAATGGTAAAACCAAAGTGAAGTTTGTGAACCTTTATGAACAGGATTGTTTCAAGATAATAATAAAAAAAGAAAATGCAAATGCAGAAGTGAGAACAACAAAAAAAAAAAAGAAAAAAAAACATCCTTAAAGTATATTATCAATTTATGAATAAGTTAATGAAAATATCACATACTCTCCATCCCCGTCAGCTATAGTTATCGCCAACGATGCGTAAGCCTCCCTCCGCCTCAGGGCGACTCATCATACTTTCTATCCACACAGATGCTACTCCTTCACTGGCTGTGGTTGCTTCTTTTCTAAAACTTAATCCCACAATCTGTTCCATTATATTTTTATGTACACGTTTAAATCCAATTCCTTCAATGCATGTAATCCAATCATCAATCCATGAACTACGTCGGGCGCCTTGAGTACGCGTGCTTACAATAACGAGCAATCCACCTTCTTTAAGCGCCAGGTGAGCATGAAGACAGGCACGGTATCGTAAACGAGGATGAGGAAGAAAAGAAAGCATTAGACAAAAGAAAACAGCATCATACTGACCACGAGCTAAGAAAAGACGACGTGTAGGTAAAGTACTTCTTTCATTCATCTCTTCCCTTATTTGGTAAAGCTTCATCATCTTTTCCTCTTTTGTATTTTGATAAGTCTCAGTACTATTGGAGTCATTACATTCTTTTTCATCAAGATCATAAAATTCAACAGCAAGCCAATCTGCTTGAATAACATCACTTAATTCATATGGACAAAGGTCTAGGGCTGTCACTGCTAGTGGTACTCGAAGTACTTTATTCGTTACAGTTTTTCCCTTAAAAGGACCATAACATGAACCAACATCAAGTACCTGAAGTGGTGGTGGTGGTGAAGTTGATAGTGATAGTGATAGTGATGATTTCAGAGATGTATTCATAGCTCTTTGGTATAGACGATGAACTTCATCACGTGTCATTAACATATATCTAGCCGCTTGTGTTGCAGCTAACCCTCGAAAACTACGAGAACCACTTGATGTTAAAGTATTCTCTTGACATGAAAGATCTGATGATTCCTTTATGGAAGATTCTTCCCAGAATGTTGTTCCCCATTTACAGAGCACTTGATATGCTGCGGCCTCAACCTCATATGCACTCGCTTGACGGGCGTGTTTTGCATAATAGGCTCTACGCCATTCTTTAACAGCAATAGTGGCTATGCGAGGAATTCGTTCAAAGGTTCTGATATTTTCACCTGATAAATACCAACCGTTGTCCATATCCTTGGGAGATACATTATCATCATCATCAACAACACTATTATTATATTCTTGAGGCTTTTCTTCCCTTGTAGTTTGCAAAACAGGTTGACCCAAACCAAGGTAATAGTCTGCTACACATTGCAATGAATATCCAACACGATCATTATGCTGTGATGCCTCTAACGCAGTAGATCCTTCTTGATCAGCGTATTTTGTCTTTTCTATACGTTGACGTTTTGGCTGAGTAGAATCAATAATACATGTAGTAGAAGTATTATTAGCAATAGCATCAGCAGTGGATGAAGTGAAAGTATTATTATTATTATTATTATTATTATTATTATTATTATTATTATTATTATTCGAATCGACCTCATCTTCTTTTCCATCTTGGTGAGAATCCCAGTATCTGGTAGCCATATCATGCATCGCAGTCGCGTAAACCTTCATACGTTCGCCCTCTTCCTTCATGAGTCGAGCCCATCGCTCTTCTTTATCTTCCTGTTGATTTGATATTTCATCTTTTTCAGATGTCATTCGTCGTTGAAGATGATAGTGAAATGATTTGACTATATCAGCTAGTTGGATATGGTCATCACGCACGCTCTTCCGTGAATTCTGTACTTTATCATCTAATAAGCATTCCTTCGTTGAGGTTGTCTCTTTTTCCATTACTTTGGTTTTCCTATTTTTCAGTTTTTTCCAACAAGTTCACCCCACCCCCATTCAGAGTTTCACTAAAAACTTCCTTTAGTAGAATTAAAAAAAAAAAAAATAATAATAAATAAAAAAAAAAGCCGAGAAACATAATGAATACTAAATAATTATTTTTTTTTTTTTTTGAGTAAATGTAGAGACATAGGTAACCGTAAAAACTCTTTTATTTTTATTTTTCTCTCCACATCTTATTGTTCTTTTTCGCTTCAAAGGATTTGCCTTTCAATCTCTTCAACAAAGTACTTCGCTCTTTTTTTTTTTTTCTTCATTCTATCGTTGCACACCTATGAGTGCCAACCGTTAAGATTCCCGTGCGGCGACAAGAAAATAAATGAAGAAAAAGAAAAAAAAGAAAACAACTAAGTCTGGGCAGAAGAGGAGGAAGGAAATCTAAATCAAGCAAACAATGCCACATATTATTTTCTTTCTTAATAACAATAATAATAATAATAACAATAATAATAATAATAATAATAATAATAATAAAAGAGAATATGTGTACAGACGAATATTTGTTTTTTTTTGAAATTGTGGATGAAATAGAGAAAATTCGTGGAAAAGTGGACGAGTAGGGGATCGAACCCTAGGCCTTCCGTATGCGAAACGGACGCTCTACCACTGAGCTACACGCCCCGTGATGAATTTACTTGGACAGTCATGTATGTATATATATATACCTATTGAGACTCTTCAACAATGTTCTTCTTTCTCTGTGAATTTTCCCTTCATCTCAGAAAAAATGTGGAAGAGTTTCTCTTTCCCAGATAATATTCTTTTTTTTTTTTGTTTTTTTTTTTCTTCCTACATATCACCAAAGTCATTTCTAATATCAAACGAGTCACAAATAACTTCCAAACCCTTTTTATTCAAAAGTGCCTGAACTCCTTCAGCACTACTCACTGCACTACAAACGTTTATATATTTTAGTGAAGGACAAGCAACGAGAAAATTAACATCAGTAACTGCTGTCAACTTAAGATCAAGTTCTTCTAATTGAGTGCATTCAGTTAAAAGTGATATCCCTTCATTTGTAACTCCTGTTTGAGTACAGAAAATACGTCGAATTCGTGGACATGTCCACAATACATTCACATCTGTGATAAGAATACAACCTGTTAAAACAACTGTATCAAGCATTGGGAGTTTTTCTAGAAACATCAAAGATGCATCATTAAGTAGAGAGTTTGGTGCATCTAAAACACGAAGTGCTTGCAATGAGGAAAGGAACACAATATTATCTATTTGAGCGTTAGCCATACGAAATAACTCTAGTTTAGAGCAGGATGTCAGAAAATGCAAACCCTCTCCATGATATGAACCTGATACATCCAGAAACCGGAGTTGCTGAAGTCTCCCTAAGGGTTCAAAACTTTCTAACTCCGTACAAGACTCTAATGAAAGAAACTCTAATCGCTCATGCATCGATGGAGCTATCTCGCAAAGTGTTTCAAACCGCAGAGGAGTTTCTCTTAAGTGCAATGATGTAAGCCCTTGTTCCCGAACAACCTCATGAATACATGTAAGTGCTGTATCAATGTGATTTCCAGGCACATGAAGAATTCGTAGTTTAGGAGTGAGATTTGCAAAAAAATTCTTCCCAGTTGGATCATATACGTTACAGTTCTCTATGTATAACTCCTCCAGCGAGGCAGCTGTCTCCTTGGCTATACTATTTAGATGACACAGATCAAAACATGAGTGAAGTTTCAGTCGTTTTAGCTTTGGTAGTAATAGACCAGCAACGCCGTCAGGTTCAAGTGGGCATAGGTCTACTTCTAGTGACTCCAAATTTACCGCTCGGCTGGCATTTCCAATAGCTTTAATTTCCCGACACGCCACCAACTCAAGTATTTTTAGATTTTTGAGAGGGCCAAGTGCATCAAAAAACTCTACAGTAATCTGCGCATGGTGCAACACAAGCCGAGTGAGACCATCAGCTACAAGTTGGTGGTAACGGCCCAGCAAATTCGCGCTACATGTCCTAAACTTCCGCCCCATTGGTGAAACAGAGCACAGACCAAAGTTTGAGCGTCCTTCAGCATCTTCCTTAGCATTAAAGATAATGCATTGACCGTATTTAGACATCATGATCTCCTCGTGCGCTGCCCAAGGACCTTTCGGATGCTGCACAGCCCGACGATACGGCTTTGATACGCAACGCATAGCACAAAGAGTCCGTCGATTATATGGAATGAACCTCATCACTTCATGTAAAGTGGCAAGAGAGTCAATGTGACCCGTAAAAGGGTCATTTGACGACCGTGATAGCATTCCCACACTAGCAATCCTTGTATAACCTTTTTCAAGCACTTCTTTTTTTTCTCACTATTGTCCCTGTCAACACAAGATTACTCCAACCTTCTTCCAGCACAAAACAATGTCTAGTACTCTTAAAATACTTATATACACCTATAAGATCCAGAAAACTATATAACTAAATTATAAAAACAAATAAAAATATAGATATAGATATAGGCATCTCATAATAAAAAAAGGCGTTAACAAAACAAAACAAAAAATAATTCACACCAAGACAAACAAACATAAATATATATATATATATATATATAATCACACCACAAAAAATTCAAGAAGAAATTTACCGAAATATGGATCTGGAAATTCTCTCTATATCGCTTATCGCATGGTTGGCACAGTAGAAACGGTGTGGAAAAACATCCGCTTCAGCATCCTCCTTATGATTCGCGTCAGAAGCAGCATCGAGACCACGAAGCAACTCGTCAATGACACTCAGTCGCTGGAGATGAAGATCAACTGCAGCACCGACGTTGTAGCTCTCACCCAAAATATAACAACCAACGCGATCATCTCCAGAAAAAAACAGAGGCACACCACCGGTTCCCCACAAAATAGTGTCATTGTTATCAAGAAAAAAGGTAGTTTCCGACAACGGTCCCCACCACTCGGCTGTGTTAGGGAACAGATGCGCCTCCGTATTGAACAACCACCCCACGTGGCTCGTCTCGCTACCACGCCTCGGCATGGTGGAACAGTATGACGGGATNGACTGAATGGGGTGCATAGCATCAGCACTGCGCCACGCATTGCCGCCAACTTCCGCGGCATCGGGCAGTCCACCGCCCACAGCTCCAGCAGCAGTCAGCATCACGACCACCACTACCACTGCCGCCAGCGGAGACATGAAGAAGATGCGTGTGGAACACGGCGTTCTCCTTCCCCGGACACAAGAGCAATCAGTAGACCTTCTTCCTTTGAATAACACAGACAGACACATACCTTCGGGGTAAAAACAATCAAAGAGAAAGAGGACACGGCATCTCATTTAATATGAACCGGGACGGTGTCATCCACAAACACAAACAGAAAGCAAATAGCATCCACCCTACACACAGTTAAAACAACTTCAGTCATTCTCAACAGAAGAAAAAAGAGTTCCATACTATCGACTAGCAATTAAAAAGGGTATAAATACTATCATCAAACAAATATTACCGAAATATGAATCTGGAAATTCTCTCTATATCGCTTATCGCATGGTTGGCACAGTAGAAACGGTGTGGAAAAACATCCGCTTCAGCATCCTCCTTATGATTCGCGTCAGAAGCATCGAGACCACGAAGCAACTCGTCAATGACACTCAGTCGTTTACGATGTAGTATATCAGCTGTCACTTCTTCACGCTCCAACGCATCGGCTGCAGGCAACGGTCCCCACCACTCGGCCGTGTTAGGGAACAGATGCGCCTCCGTATTGAACAACCACCCCACGTGCCTCGTCTCGCTACCACGCCTCGGCATGGTGGAACAGTATGACGGGATGCTGCCAGGAGCCCTTCCCTGAACATGTATCACATTGCACTCGTCAAACAGCAGGTACAGGTACTTTAGTGTCTCCGCTAGCATGAAGCTCTCCATTAAGTCCTCGTGCCGTCCATCGTGGTGGGGGTGGTTCACGTCACGCAGCGACGAGAATCCATACGGAGTGCGCATCCGCAGATTAATCGCCAGCACCAGCTCTCTTCCCATTACGAGATACACAGGATCTCGGGTCGCGCGATACAGCATGTACACCGACTCCGCATGCTCAGGACGCTGTGGATAGGCATTATTCCAGCTGTGTGTACGCTCAGTTTCCAAAGAAAATGACTCCGGCAGGCCCCCAAAGTGCTTGAAGATGCTGTGAATTGGCCAGCAGCTCTCCACAGCCTCCATGTTATGACCACCAAGAAGCAGGTTACCCGGGAAGAATGAGGCCAAGGATTCGTGTGTAGACCTAATCCGACTGCCGTCCCTCATGCTGACGAATGTTAGCATCCCACCCTTCCGGATGTAGCGATTGATCGCACGCACCGAACGCTCGAAACGCTCCCAATCACCCATGTCCCCTGAAATAATGTGCGCCTTGATGAAGTACTCAATTGCACTGTCAATGTCACCACTAACATGGGATTCAGTAAAGGACCACCTGCCACTCATGGCGTTGATGTGATTTCCCATCAAATCAGTGTGAGAGTCTCGAGCAGCGAAAAGAGCTTCAGAGGCACGGCGGGAGGCGCGCATGTATCTGTCGTCACCTGTGAGTGCAGAGAGAACAGTCATTTCCAGCAACAGAGTACCAGCAGCAGCAGTACTTGCAATCGGTGTCTCTGTTCGACTCACACCGTGTCGAAGGTTGAAGGAACCATACGGTATCCCCGTAGAAGTATTGAAGCACGGAAGCATCCGGTTCCCCAAGTCCGCGGCGAGTCGCAGCAGTCCACCCGTGTAGTTGTGTTCCGTGGGAACAACCTCCACCACACCCTCCTCATACATGAAGTGCGCCGCAAGCAGTCCCCCAAGGGCTCGAATCGTTGTCTCGAAGAGTGAGACCGAGACATCAATGTCGAAATTCACATTTTCTTCCACCCATCTCGCGTAACGACGGAACTCCGTGTGGAAACCGGCTACCGCCAGCGTGTCAAGCGAGTCAATGAGGGTCCAACCGTAGCCACCCATGGTGTTCTTGCCCGTCCCACTAACAGAGCGCAGCTCATCCTTGGGGAACGCGTACTTGATGTACGAGTCAAAGGCGTGGGCAACCATCTCCCGCACATAGGGTTGCATTTCAGACTGAATGGGGTGCATAGCATCAGCACTGCGCCACGCATTGCCGCCAACTTCCGCGGCATCGGGCAGTCCACCGCCCACAGCTCCAGCAGCAGTTAGTAGTACTGCTGTGAGGCAATAGAAGCAGATCTTTCTTGTATTCATTCCTGTTTTTTTTTTTTTTTCGTTTAGTTGATAAGTTGGTCAGGTGTAGTATACTTCTTGATGGGGTTCTTTTATGGAATATGCTTTCTAATTCGGTCAAGACGTGCAACAAATAAATAGAAACAAACAAACAAATAATCTATGAAGTTCAAAACCAATTTCCAACACAAACGCATCATGACATCACACACAAAGGCAAGACGCAATAATTGTTAAATTCTCTATACCGCCGAAGAGTCACACGGAAGAAGTACTGAAGTTGCAGATTCTACAGTCCCTTCCCAGACTCGTCCCCGTGGAGGGGATAAGGGGTTGGGTGGGACGGAAAAGAAAAAACCAAAAATCTTAAATCCTTTCTATTCGTTAATACCGAGGCTCTTTGACAACAAACAAACCACAAAGAAGAAAAGGTAAAACAAACCTCAAACCCAAATTATAGTAGACCAAAACCGGATACATATTCTTTTTACAAGATCCTAGGAAATGTAAGAAAAAGGTGCAATAAATGCATATATTGAAGTAGATATATTTTGGTAGATAAATGTGAACTGCTTAAAATACCAAGAGCAGTAGTATTGATTTTGTAGTTTGCGATAAAACCAAGAAGTGGAACTGAGAATGTGTAGAAGTTGAATCTAGCTATTTGTTCACCTATTGTGGAATTTCTGCGTGTATTTATTGTGCTTTCTCCAGTATTTTTACACCAGATGACGCTCATAAGTGAGCAAGAAGAAGAAATTTGTCTCTTACAGTATTTATCTTTTAATTCTTATGGGAATGCTGCACGTGGTAGGTTGACGGTAGAGCAGTACCGCCAGATTTTCTCTCTTCAGCTTTTTTTTTTTTTTTTAGGAAACAGTTCGTGTCAAACAGAGTTCGTTCCTTGGAAGTGATTTACAAACGCTGCTAAGCGCCACTGTCACACCATCTAATTCGTCGGATGATATTAGCTGTAGCATAGTTTTCTGTGTGATTTGCTCATCTTTTTTCTCTTTGTTCGTTAGTAATGTAATGGTTGACGAGAGTGATGAGATTTTTCCCTTTCTCTTGGTATTTGCGAGATTCCCTTTATGCATGACTTTGGGCATGACTCTATCAGATGGATGCTCCGTATAGTCGTTTGGCGTCAACTGGTTGTTGTTGTTTTTCTTTTCCTTCTGTGCCAAAGGTGGAATTGCCATCTCCGTAGCAGGTGAGGAAATCGCTGTGCTCCTCTCTGCGTGTGCGTTCAATTCATCTACAAGCGATAGATAAATGTCGAAAACGATTGAGGGATAAAGTAGATAACGTGGTACTACGCTATACCCTTGATGCATGGGTGGCCAAAGCACGTGGAGAACTGTAATAGTGTTGGGTGTCGTGTTCAGAATTAATTTTAGGTGAATTAATGACTCGCAGGCTTGCAAAACTCCTTTAATAAAGTTTGTAGACGATCTATCCGTTGGGTTAAAGATATACGTTCTTCTTCTGGGGAAGACATTATAGTAATGGATATGCCACTTGGCTCCTGTACAGTTTCTCTTTCATGAGTTTGGGAGAAATAAACATTCGCTTGATCGTCATTAGAGAAAACTGTTAAGTCTCGCAGAGAGCGAATCTTCAAGAGTAAGTTGGACTGCACTTCCTCATGGGACTTCATATCCATTCCTAGTTGTTGCAAACTCGTCATGAAGATGTTAAGCATTTTCGTCTTCTTCTCACCTTCAACTCGAGGTAAGAGAACCCCAGTCAATCGTTGCGAACGTTTCTTCTTAAAGCCTATCTGTAACTCCCTCGACTTTGACTTCAAAGTGGAAATCTGGGATGATTCTTCTTCAATTATTCGATTGCAAGTCTCCTGACTAAGGTTTACCGCCACAGTACGTTGAATCTGCCGCTTTCTCAAGGCTTTGCGTTGTGATGCAACATCTAAGGCCACAGCACGCTCACACTCCACGTCTTTCCAAAGTTGCTGTAACCCACGCTCCGCTAAAGAGAGGGTTTCAGATGCAAAACTCAAGTCATCTTCTATTATAGATAGAAGTAACATAAGTGTGGTGTTTTCATCACCAGCATCCTCTTTGCACTCAGAGCTAGTAAGTCTTGACAACATTTCCGTTGTCGCATCACAAGAAGCAGATTTTATTCCTTTCCATGCGCGCCAGAGATCAGCTGTTATGTTTTGTGCCCTGACAACAACTTCTTCAGGTTTACAAAGATCAGAAAGTGTACGGTAAATGCGGCGACAGTGTCGATCATAGAGAAGTGATTGGGTATTGGAAACCTGAGTAACATGATGATGAACCACATCAGTTTCCTCGCGAAATGCATCGCACAATTCTATATGGAGAATCGAGAGATCCCTTTCCACATCATCCAAAATTGTCGTCATTCCCCTTTCATCTACATAATAATAACTCTCAGGAAAAATCTGTACCTCACTTTTCCTTATAAAAGAAGTTAGAAGAGAAAGAAAAACCATTTTCACTTCCTTACTGCAATCTCTGTACTGGACTCTATTTCAATAACAACTTTGTCCCAACTTTTTCCCCCATGAGTTTTAACTATCAAAATATGCTTCCCACTTTGGTTAAGCATTGCAGAATTAAATTAAATGAAATGGATGATAAAATATCATATGATGTCCTAATTAAATACATACAAGAATTCGATACATCGAAACATAGAGAAAAGGGTTTAACAATTAAATTCTCTATCCTGTCGGATTACTCACCCGGCAGAACCAACGAAGTAGCAGATTCTACAGTCCTTTCCCTCTCCAGGCTCCTCCATGCGAAGGGACTTGGGGGTGGGTGAAGCGATAAAGAAGGAAAAAAATAAATAAATAAATAAATCCCTTCTAATCGTTCAGCCAGAGGCTCTTTCAGACTTTGCCAAAACGAAGAAATGGAAAAAATAAAAAAAAATCCCACACGACCATAAAAACATCAGAAACAATTACAGAAGAATACTCTTTTCAGAAACTCCTGAAAAGACAGGACTGACGAAATAAAAATGCCAAGAAGTCCCCTAACCTGCTTCGCGTGTGAAAGAAAGAGGGTTATGGGTTGGACAAGCATTCAAAAACCTACCGTTTGTAGACTGCAATGGAAAGAAAAATTAACGAACTACAAGTATTCCTATTTTATCATAATAATCTTTCTTTATATAGTAATGTAAAACATGATCATTCCTTTCGCAAGCTGTCAAGATGAGCGAGAAAAAATAAAAAGGAATATGGTTCCTGATTTGATCCCCCTCCTTTGCTATAGAGTAAAGAAAAAACCATACCAAATAATTTACTTCACCGTATAATGCATACGTATCTTGTAACAGACACAGCATCTGTAAAACAGTGGAACGAATAATCAGTTTTTCTCCATAGAGCTAACAGAATGAATACACAGCTAGTAGATGTTACCAAATACACCATCCCATGGCCCCATTCTCACCAAACTCCCCCGTGTGGAGGGAGCAAAGGATTGTGTGGTTAGGACAGGAATACCCTAGTCTTATTTCCCTTTCAAGAAAGAAAGAAATAACGAAAAGGAAAATATTTATTTTCCACATCTGTCCTTATATGTTCTATGGTTTTAGTAAATACCTCAACCAAAACTTTTCCAGATGATGTTTTCTAATACATAACAGAACTAACGAAATGGAAGTGCTGTGAAACCATTTCAACCCGCCTTTCAGAAACTTACGGTTAGAGAGAACTGTAAAGATAAAAGAAATTGAATTTATTTACCATGATCCCATCCAAAATTGTTGCCCCATAAAGTAAGGCTTTGTAATTCTTCTCGCATGCTTTCATAAAAGAGAACAAAAAAACATATATAGATAGATAGATAGATCTTTCCTAAGCGTTCATCCGACTAGTTCTTCACGCACGAGAGAAAAACAAAAGAAATGAAAAATGGTTACTGTACTCCTGACCCATTAATAACATGGACCTTTTAGTGGGGCATACTCCTCTCACGTAATTCCATAGAAAGAAGAAAAAAAAGAAGGTGGTGGAAGAAATACGGAGCACACAAGGGTCAGATTTTCCTAAATTCGTTTACTGTTATTGTTTACTGTTCTACATAAATTGTCGTTTATTATTATTATTATTATTATTATTATTATTATTATTATTATTATTATTGGGAATAGTAAAAGAGATAATTTATTGTGTTTCACACCATGCAAGATAACAACCTGATTCTTTACTTGGAAGCGCGGAAATATCTTCACATTTTGTTATGTTAAAACTATTCGTACGTGCTTCAAAAAAAGAGGATGGTGGAACCAGAGATTCTTTTGTCGTGTGATGAGGCATTCCCTCCACACCCAATAAATCGGCAATGGTCATGTAAAGATCCAAATGAGTGGATATACGACGCGTCCGTTGCATCATATTTTTCCTAGATAATCCTCCTTGGCGACCTTTGAGCTGATCAATGCGAGAAAAGACCTCAGGGTGAAGAATCATTCCAACAAATGGCAAAGCCCGCTCCAGTTTTCCTGGAGCAGTTAATTCGTAATAGTGTCCCATATGATTGCCATGATCAGAAAGTAGTATAAGTACATTTGATGGATCGTCAAAAAAACGTAATTTTATTCGTAGGTCTTCAAGAAATGCAGTGAGGGCGTCATCAATAAGGTACAAAACCCCATGAGTCCCTTCATGACCTTCAACAAGATGCGATACATGAAAAAAGGAAGAAGTCTCACCATCTGAATGTTGAAAATCGTCCATGGAATAGTTACTTTTTTTCCACTGTTTTCGATTTCGCATCTGCATATTCACAAGTGAACGTGTATAATTCAAAACATATTCATGGACATGTCGCTGTCCTATGCAACGTTTCAATATGCTGTTAGCCCCTTGAAAATTACCTTCAAGGGCAGAATATTGAGTATGGCAGAAAGGACCAAAAGTATAGTGATCAAGATCTTCTCCGTAGGATTCTCCAAAACCGGCACCAAATATCTGATCTTCCATTATTTCATTGATTAAGTCTAAGCAACCTCCCGTTGTATAGGAAGTAGTAAAAAAATCACCATATGATTTTTTTGCCAATCGAAATAGACTAGTATTCAATCGATCTTTTTTTCCTCGTTCTGGTTCAAGTTCTGAAAAAAAACCTGTAAAAAGTGGTACAAGATTTGCCTCTGTACTGTGACCTAATGTTGTGGCTCCCTGCGCCTCTATGAAAATATGTTCACTTGAGGCATTTTTACGGAACTGGTAAAGCCAATTGCTGAACTTTGGTAAGGAACGAAGTACCTCCTGACGGCTTACCGCATCAAGTACCAACATAAGAACGTTAGCCGGAGGCTTTCGGGTACCATCATAACCATCACCAAGTGTTCTTGCATTTCCTTTAGACTTAACATTTCGTCTAAGTGGTGGAAACATGTGGTATTCCTCATAGTCTAGGGAAGGACAGTACACTGTGTAAGCGACACTTTCATTTAAGGGAACTTCCCATACTGATTTTAACGTCCAACTTTCACGAATATTTCGTTCCTCTATGCTTCTTGGCTCCCTTAAAACCATATTTAAACGTGATGGAAGTAGTTCAACAGAAAGAATAATACCTGTGGTGTCGCGGTTAACCTGAACACCCATAGAGTTATGAACTTTCTCGTTGGTACCGTAACGTTTTTCTAGCATTTGATGCCATTTGTTACTATTTTCAAGTACCTTGGGAAGAACTTCTGGACCACCACTGAGCTCACTTCGCTCTGGACGTTCAAGATAAACAATAGGCCGCTCACCATTACCAGGGCATGTAGGGGATACGATTAGAATACCTTCTTCTTCATCAAGAAAAGAAATCTTGTTTGTTCCACAGTTATCAGCCCCGGGAAACATACTTAATATTCTTTTAGGGGTGTATTCTGTTAATACCCATCCTCTTGCTGCTTTCGGGGAAAGTACCATACCCTCAAGACCACAAAAATCTATTATATCCCCCAACATACCAACTTCCAGGAGACGTTTTGTATCCCCTGGAAGATAAGTTGGTGTAAACGACATGAGCATAATAAGCACAATAGTAATTATTGTAATTAGAAAAGGTAATTTTCGCCGCAGTACATTATCAAGAACAAAAAAATGAGTCTTATAGAACCCTTTTAAGCTCGGAAAACACTGCGCAAATCTACAAATTGGTGTCATTAAAACTCCACAACCAAAAGTAAAGAGGATAGTGTCAGACACCAAGCGGAATATGATCAACATGATTTCCTGTGTCTGACGATGACGACTCGATATCGTTATGTGAATAAAGATATGCACTATAACTACAGTAATCGACGTCAAAATAAAGCAGGTCCACCGAAATTTTTTCTCAAATAGAGTATAAGTCTTAGCACGTCGCAAATTCAATGGAAGAAAAAACGTGGCAGCTGAAGCAGAAGCCAATGCAATAGATAGCAATTCTTTCGCAAGACGTACAGAAGTGGTAACTCCCCGGACAGATCGTGTCATCCCTATTATCATCGACCAAGATAAAAATAATAGCATAGATGCAACGACGACACGGAGTACTATCTCTAAACTCATCTTGTTTTTCTTGAGAAAGTGCGTACGGAGAAAAATAAACTCTTAATCAGTGTTTTTTTATTATTATTGTGTGTCGGAGTTTGGAGGGGCAGAGAAAATATGGAATAATCTTGACAGTATTATCCACTTTAACATCATACAAAACAAAAACAAAAAAAAAAAAGAATGGGAAGAAGAAAAATACATAAGAAAAAAAATACAAAATAAAGTTTTTCTTAGCCTTTCCAAATCGATAAAAAAAAAAACTATCGAGTACACAGAATAATATCAAATCAACATAATACCATCTATACTCATTCCTTTCTTTTTTCTCACTTATGATATGGATAGTACAGAAAGAATTTTCATCATTAAAGGTGAACTGGTAATAGTGGTTCTATTTTCTTTGCTTTCAACAAACGCACACTGTGCGATAGCGTCATGGAGTACTTCCAGAGTCTGCCACAGTTTATCTCTTTCCTCTAATAGCACACCAAGTTGTTCTAGGGATATTATGGGTGCCTTCTTGGGTAATAATTCCTCAACAAGAAAACCATAATCGCTAGCATAATCCTCTTCTTCAGTTTGAGAAGACGTTAAACATTGTTGATGCCGTCTATGAGCAGCAAGAACAAATTCCTCATAAGACTCGATGTCTCTTCTTAAATCATTCAAAATAGAATAGTATTGATTAGGTACAGCAAGCGACGAGAACTGCATGTAATCTATTGAAGAAGAGCAAATATCATTAGATTTTGCATCAGGAAGAAGAACTTGTTTAGATGGATCATTACAATATCTTTTCATTTTTCTCGAATGTAATGACTGAGATTCTGGTACTATATCCTCTCTATTTTCGATAGAAGAAGCCACTGAATATTTAACGTTTAGAAAAGGATCAGACCCTACAGGCTCATTAACGTCACCTTTTTCCTTTCCTGTAATTACTTTATAGTTTTCCCCTGTGTCTTTTCCAATTTCATTATTTTTTAATTTTTCAGATGCCAATTCAAGAGGGCTCAACTCACTGTACTTCTCACGGACCATCTTTTGCTGGAGTTTCATGGTTCTTGTCATTCTTACCCCTTCTACACATCCGGTACCTCCATTATTACTTACACGGCGTTCTAGTGCCGATCTTGAGTATGTGTTCAACATTTTCGTCATGAATTGATACGTCCATTTTAATAGCATAATATGCTCTTGTAATTTCCCTGACGCTAGACGTGAAATATCTATCTCCAACGATAATTCTGGTGGCACACAACTACGAAGCATAAGTTGTAATATTTGAATATTCTTCTCACACTGACCACGCTCCTGTAAACTGTCTAAAGAAGGATCCTGATTTGTACAAGTGGTTAATGTCACATCCCAATCAAGACGTCCAAGTAACTGTGAAGATCGTCTGGCTCGCGATTGAGCAGAATGTGCACTTTGCAAGCCAAGAACCTTACAATTTTCGGCCACTCGATTAACAGCAGCATCAACTACAGTACAATATGCCACACCATCACGTAATGACTCAACACTAGGATATTCTGCAGAACAAACGCTATTAATCCATAGAAGCAATTCCCCTCTTCCAGAAGGATGTGTTTTTGTCACACCGCCAGGCATTTAGCTACACTATCAATGAACAAGCCTTTTCAGTAAACAAGGATCAACTTTTTTTTTTTTCCAAGGCAGCTCCTTACTGCAAAAGAAAAGAAAAAGTACATAAATAAATAAATATATCAGGAAATATCATTCGAAAAAAATGATAAAAAGAGTTTCTGGAATAACAGAGGCATCAAAGAAAATATCACAGTTAAGAGGTATCATAAAACCATGTTAAATTTTACCAATAAATATTTTACCTCAAGTCAAAACTTCCTTATTTTAAAAAAAAAAAAAAAAAAATATATATATATATATATATCATTAGACAAGCTGGTACACTTACCAAGAATCTGGGGAAAGGTAGCAGTTAATTTCCTGCTGTAGAGAAAATCTGGATTCAAGAAATCCAAAGTGAAGCGCCATCCCTAAAACAAGGACAGGTACCATCAAGATCCTGAAAATATCACTCTTCCTGGGGTTGCACTGCCCCCTCTCTTTTATGTCAGAAATAACGCAGCGGGAGAGAAAGAAATACGCTCTTCCTTTCCCCCTTGGGGAAATGAAGAAAAAACAACAACAAAGACAAGACAGCGACGACCTCCGGGTAGGTGACGTGGGACCACTCTTTCCAAAGAAGAACGCTAGGGAAAACAAGGATTCGAAAAAAACCAAAAAAAAAAAAGACGGAAAACAAGAAAGCGACCCCCCCCCGGGACAACAAAAAATCCCGGGGCGGCACAACCCCACCGCACTTCACCATTAAAGAAAAAAAAAAAAAAAAACGTTCCCCCACCGGTCGGCGCCAACGTGGTCTTTTTCATTCTCCCCGGCTCTTGGGAAGTAGGCCGGGGGCCTCCCGCCGGGCCGTGAAAGGGCTAGAGCGCGCGGGCGAGCAAAAGAGGAAGGTCGCCGGGGTGCCCCCGCGCTGCGTTTGCGGTGCCGTTTGGGGCCCCGGCCCCCTCTCCTCGCAACGCGGAAGGGTCCGTCGCCGCACACCCCCCTATTTTTTCACTTCTCGTTTTTTTTTTTTTCTCATATTTTTTTTTTTCTTTCGCGGCCCCAGGAAAAAAACAGAAATTTTTAGAAGAGGGTAAACATGTTACCGGCGCGCCGGCTTCGCGCAATTTTGGCCAGGGGGTTGCATGGGGTACCTGGGGTGCGTTCCCCGGTACTGGAACCAGGAACTGATTTGCATGATTATCTTCTTAAAACATACATGCAGGAAACCAAGGTAAACGAGGAATTGACTGACTTCTTTGTATCAGTATCTTTTCTTGGGATTGCTTCACATGAAGATTGGTTAAGGCTAAAGAAGATTTTTTTTGATCACATTTCCAGTCTCTCATGTCGAACCGTTAATAGAATATTCGCTTTACTTGTTGAGAACAATGCCTGTGGACGTTTAGAGTGTGTTAGGATACAGAATTTATTGGCCAAACTTGACTTTTCAAATTCTTTGAGATATCATGAATGTTTAGAAACTCTTCGTAATATTACTAACATTGGTTCACGTCTCTCACCAGAGTTTATTCCTAAATTTTTGGAAATTGTTCCAAAGTTAGTAAAAGATTCTCAAACTGAAGCACTACCTACTTTATCTTACGTTCTCGGAAAGATTTTAACTTCTAATGAAAATAAGAGTATACCTTCTGAAGTTCGGTATTCAATTTTAAATGCTTTGTTTAAGAGGGTGGAATCAATTGATTGTATGCTTCTTTCTCAGAGCGAAGTTGTTTATCTTGTATGGTCATTATCTGCTTTTTGTTCTTCAATTGTAGAAATACGACCAATGTTCGTGAGTGTTTCAGAAATTCTTATTATGCGGGGAATTCACATTAATGAAATAAAAGAGGCTAACCCACGAGATCTTCTGTTGATCATTTCTTCTTTATGTCCTTTGATTTCTCTTTCTGGAGTAAAAAATCTGCTTCTACCCACTAAGGAGGATGGATTGATTTTGCCAGTTACAACTGAAATTTTTGATAGTGATGTTATATCAAAACCTTTTCTTAGAGAATTGGTAATTAAACTTGACGCAGTTCTATCCATCTTTCTTCAAAGGATTTCCTATGGGGAAATACAAAATAATATATCTCTTCTTGTTGTTCTTGAGATGATTACATCCTCTGGAGCAACAAAATTGCTAAAAAATGCCCAGGTTCTTCTTCATCTGCTTATTCGAAATTTTTTATATGAGGGATATGATGTATGGTTCAGTATTCCAAGAAAGTGTACTGTTACCTCTGAAGGAGATCTTCAACAACCCCTGATAAACTTTTTTGCTTTTGATAAGGAAATTGGGTTTTTGGATCTTATTACTACCCGTTTAAGCGTATCTATCTTACCTTCTTTGTCATTACGTGGACTTGGAAAAGCTTCTATCCAAGAGGTGATTGCAGTGCTTGAAGCATTAGTCTACGGTAATATTTCCGAGTTAATGAAAAAACTATATTTAGAGGCGTGTATAGTTAAATTACCTCGTTTTATACGTAGTACGTTACAGCATGATTTGTCTCGTATTGTGGATGCAGTGGTAAAGCTTGGTATAGATGATCCTGCAATAAATCGTACAATTCAAGACAGAAGTCAAGAGTTAGGTTTGAAATATCAAATGATTTCTAATGAGAGAGTAAATAAGAATGAAGGAGTGCATGAACATTTAAAAAGTTACTGGGGAGCTGATGTCATAACCCTCTGTGTCTGTGAGAAGGCCTTGAATTTCTTGGGGAAAAATAAGAACTCGAAAAATGAACTCCCAGAACTGTTAAAAATTCTAAATGTTCAAAAAGGTATTAATAGTGCAAATGAAACACATTGCATTTCCATTATTAGGTCACTTTCTAAGTGTCATCTACCATTTAGAGAGGATGATTTATATCGTACACTGGTAAAATCTCTTTTTTCTCGAGTAGGAATGATAAACCCGTTGCACGTGATGTTATCATTAATTCTGGATGGAATAAGAATTGGAATTTCCCGTGACGTATTATTAGACTCTCTTTATTGGGTTGGCTCCAAACTGGCAGAGAAGGATCTTCTAACTATAGAACCAATAGATGTGGCAAACTATTTCATTGTTGCACATGAACTGGACGTTTTGAATACTGTTGTACATCCATGTTTCATTGCTGTTCTTCGACAGGAAAATGCATTAAATTCATTTTCTTCTCATATAGCAGGTCGTCTTTTTGCTGCTTTGTGCTCTTTTGGAATAGATGATAAAGAACTTCTTGAAAAACTACTAAAACAAGTTATGCCGTGGTCTTTACAGGTTACAACACAAGTAGAATGGTTAGAAAAGGACTGGAAGACAGCTTTAACATTAGTTCATGCACTTTGGTCATTATCCTCAGAGATTGTGAGAGAACCATTGTTGGTAATTGCAAGGATATTGGTTCCAGTGATGTTGCAGCAGAACATCAATGACAAAACTCAGAAATATTCCCTCTTTGTTGCTATGACAGCATCTACTCTATTAATTATTGATGACCCTAGTAGTATTTCAAAGGAAGTTGTTCCCAAAAACTCTCAGATAAAGATACTTGAGGATTTTCTTACGCTGCTGGTCTCCCTTTTTTCAGAAGATGGGATGAGTCTTTCTTTAGTTCGTACAAGTGCACTCCTTAACTCTGAAACCATGTTTTCTATTGTTCCAAGAGAATGTAGCAATATTATTTGTTTCCTTGTTATCGCTCATACTGTTCAACGCCTAGCTCAGACTGAAAATGGTTTATCAAAGAGATTTACTCCACTTGGGGTGAGTTTGTGGCGCTATTCTTTAAAATATATTGAAAAGACACCAATAGCAGATGATGTGTTGATGACTGCAGTTGGGTTTTCAATTAGATTTGGTGCAAGTAGTCAAGCATTTGATCGATTTATGTCAACCATAATGGAAAAGGATATTGTAGTAAGTATGTTGACAGTATGCTCTGTTGCTTATGGATTAGTCCGAACGGGTAAGCGACGCTCTGTAGCGACGCAATTTGTCGCATATTTTTCTCAGAGAAATTGCTTAGACGACCTACCTGCTACCGCATTACTTTATTTGTTATTATTTTTTACACGAGACGCAGAGCAGGTGGCGCTCGGACTTACGCGGAGTGATATGCTGGTAGCTCTTGTCTGGTCATCACTTAGTTTAAAAATAGATCGACTTCCTTGTACCAAGGAACTGTGGAAACTGATAGATTCCGTTCCTCTGGTATCAGCACCATCCTTGTTACGTTTGATCAATGAAAAGGGATTGATAGATAAATCATCTGAAATGGAACTCCTTAAACCCATATCTTCTTTACTGGCGTGGGAACCAAATGCAGCGTGCGGTGATGCTGTCACAGATTTTTTGCGTAAGGTCAAAATATCTCTTGAAAATCGTCTAGGTGATGAAACGGCTCTCAAAACAAACGCAAGAGAGATTCAGAAGATGATTTCAGATCGAATTCATTAACATATTCTGGTATTTCTTTTTTCATGAATTGGAATTTTTTTTCTTTGTAGAATGCGGAGGTGATGCTTCTCTCTTTATCTCATCATGTGTCTCCGTGTGTTTGTCTGTATTCCTGTGTTTTTTGTTATGTTTTATTGATTATTATTATTATTATTATTATTATTATTATTATTATTTTTCTTTGCTCTTTTTTGGTATCCTTGACATCTCTTTTATCTGCACAAACTCAGCATGATCCTCAATGAAGAAAGAAAATCTGAGGATAGCGCCTATTGGCTTGCAGAGTTGAGGCAGTATGAAGAAAAAATTGCAAGGCTCACAGAAGCACTCGAGAGACGGAATGAGGAATTTGTTGCCGCAGAGGGATCTCTTATTAAGCTTATCGACGAAAATCTAAGTGGTGGTTCCCACTTTGCAACATTGGTAGACTCAAGTAGAGCAACTAATGAAAGAGAGCACATTGACACTCTTTGCCATCTACAAGATGAAATTAAATTGAATCGTCAAGGTCTTCAAGAAGCACAGAAGCACGAGCAGCTAACAGGAACAGTGTTAGCCCGCATTACATCATTTATTTCAGAGAATGATGAGGGATGGGGACCTTATCTAAGTCATTTAAGAATGGCTGTTGAGTGTTTTCAAAACATCTGGATTGAGAGTGAAAAACACAATAAAAAGCTTAAAGAACGACTGAAAATGATTGTTGATGAAAAGGATATTAACGACTCACTCTCTGGTTCCAGGAGGGATCAACTCCAGTTCTCATACATAGAAAAAAAAATGGCACCATTGTTTGTAGAGGTAAATAGAAAGACAAGATATCTTCTAGAGTGTATTGCAGTGATAACTGTATCGCTTAAAAGAAAAAGAGAACTTTGTCTTATGAATCGTGAACACTTAGAAAAGGCGCATGAAACAGCAAATTTGCAACTTAAAAAGTACAGAAATGTTTTAAAAGATGTCGGACGCGCTCTTGACTCGGTTGAACAAGCATTATATACTATTCGCATGACGAATAACAATAAAGAGAACTCAAGAGATGAACTGCAGAAAGAACTTTTGATTCTGGAGACCACTCCAAATGCTATGGAGTACGTAACAGCAATTGTGGAGGCAGCAGTGAGGGAAAAAACAGAACTCATGGTGTTAAACCAAGCTTTAGAGGAAGCAAGAAGGATATCGCAAAAGGTATTAAGTATGGAGAAAGAGGTCCTTGAATCTGCAAAAACTCAAACGATTGCCCTTGAAGGTACACAACATACTCTTAGTAAACTTCAGGAATCCCTTCTTATTTTGGAAAAAGAAAAGATAGAGCTCCAAGAGCGGATAGAAGCCAATCATGATATGAAACAGAAGCACAGTCGTGAAGTGGAAGGTCAAAAAAAAATAATGAAGGAAATTCAAAAAGAATATGAGGAAATTGAAGAAAGTAAAAGAATGTTTGAAACAGAAGCAAAACCTTTCTATATATCGTTAAATGAGACAAAAAAGCAGATAGAGATTCTTAGATCTCAACTTGAGTCTAAGACAAGCAGAAAAGCAATGCTTTACGATGAAAAAAAAATGGTTGAAGATAATATAAAGCAATTGAAATCTGACTGCGAACGTTCCCGTACCGATATTATTGAAATGCACAGAGGTATACTAACGCTAAAGCAGCAAAAAGAAGAAGCCTCAAGATATCTGAAGTATGTTACTTCTCTTGTGTCAGATTCGGTGGTCTCAGTACCTTCTATGCCTTTTACCCATCAACAGGAGATGTCAAAAAACCACGGAGAGGAGAGTCTCCGTGAGTTGATAATTGTGAAGAATAGGACTCTAGTAGAAAAGGCTCGAAGAGAACAACGGCAGTCTCTTACTGTAAGAGGGCCCTCCATAAGCAGTAGAATAGTTCCCAATAAATCATACGATGGTTTTGTCACTGACAAATATGACGTAAAGTATCCATTATCTTCTTCTATGACACAACAGCCACCACATGCCACAAACTCTTTGACTCCTGTAGTTGTTAATTCTGTATCCGCGCATTATTCCTCAGATGTTGTAGCAGGGGAATCACGTGAAGCATCGGTCTTCCTTACTAAAGAAGAGCATCCTTCCAGTACAACTAGTCGAATAATAAGAAAATCACCAGAAGAGTATTTATTTACTTTTCCAAGTACATCTGTTATTCATGCACCTAATGTGAAAATTGGAAGCAACCCCCTTGGAAGAATCGAGGGATCATCAATGATGCCTTCTTCTGAACCTCAAATTTCTTGGAATAGAGATGAAAATAAGGAAACGTCATCCACTATTGCAAGCATCAATCTTCGTTTGCATGATATACTTAACCGTAAGTATTGAGTTCTCTACTCATTTGTACCAGTTCTACAAAACAAAACAAAAAAAGGTAATGTATTTTTCCTATTCTTGTATTGGTGTAGTATAAATGATATGAGTACTTCTCGTTTCTCTCTCTCTTTCTCTCTCCTACGTTTATTTTCTTTTTTTTTTTT